GGCTGGTCCCGCAGCTCTGCTGCTCCTGGGAAGAAAGCTCCCAAGTCACTCCCATGAAGTTAGATTTGTTTCTACTTATAATCCAGCCCGCGGTCCCTGGCCTCTTAGCACTGCTTCTAGTTTCTTTTTAAGAAGAAACATGGTTGTTTTAGACATGATGGTGCACCTCACCGTAGCACTCCCCTCCCCTCCCCCCCATTATTTTCAACACTGTAGATCTGCCTATCCCCGCCGCTCACAGCTCCCGACGGTGGCGAAGTGTAGGGGTGCATATGCACCCCCTGACAGGCCACGCTGCCCTCTTAGGAGCGCCCGGCAGCAGGAGCACCCAGCGAGCACCAGCCGGGGAGCGGGAGTGCCGGATGTAGGCCACGGCCACTTTTGGGAGCAGCCAGAGGGTAAGTTTTGCCACAGGGGACGGCCCCCCCCAGTCAGCAAGATTGGCCCTGAGTTCTGTGGGGGACACCCCCCTCCCCCAAGATCAGCCCTGAGTTTTGCTGCAGGGGATTTCCCACCCCTGGTCAGCGAGATTGGGGGGACTCCCCCCCAGTCACTGACTGGTTGCTGGAGGGGAATGTACCCCCTGACTGAGGTGACACCAGTCACCCATGGCTCCCGAAACTCATGAGGGACAGTTATCACCCTGTCTGTCCCCACACCCATGTGGATGGCTCTTCTTCCCCTGGAAGAGCACAGAACTGCTTCGTTTCTTACCTCAGGCACTGGTGACTGACATGTGGGAGGAGGCAGTTTTTTTCATGTTAAATAAGAGCTAGCCATGTGGATAACAGTGTGTTAAGGATGCTCAGGTTCTTGATTTCCAAAGATTTCTACTTCGGAACATGGTCAGATTTATGATTTTGAAAAGGGGGCGCCCATGGTGAGGTGCATCATCACATATAAAACAATGCATAATTTTTTCCAGTTAAAAAGAAACTAGAATTAGCTTTACTAATAGGCTAGGGGCCTAGGGCCAGGTAATTCAGTTTAAGATTGAAGCAAAAAGAAATACAACTTGATCAAAATTAGTTAAAAAACAAATCTGCAAGACTGTGAAGTAGGAGTTTAATTCCCAGCAGCAGTGCACAAATCACACACGTGCAAAACAAAGGCTAGCTTGACTGGTGGAACATCAAGACCATTAAAAAGGAGAGAGGATCCATAACATTTGTGCAATGCAGTGTTTACAAGGGACCAGGTAGATGATAATGAGCCATGAAGTAAAGTGACTCCCTCAGCACTGCCTGACCAGACATGCTGCTGCCACTGCCAGAGTAGTGGTTTTAAACTTTGGGGTGGAGCAGGAATCAAAAGGGGGTGCAAGTGCGCCAGTGGACCACCCCCCATCTGCCTTTGCTTTGGAAAGATTAATTTGGGATTTAACTGCAGGTACTTATTTAGCTGCACTGTATTACCGTTATTCCGTATATGATTGCTTATGCATTCAGTCAGCCTATATGGTGCACCTCCACCCTGCCTTCTGCCTGACTTCAAACTAACCCAGCTAACTACCTTTCTGCCTATGTGATATATGTGATTAATTGAAATGGCCAAAAAAAGTCAAATCAATGGCTGGGCCAAACCTGCGCTAAATCTTCCAATCAAACAAAGATATTTTCCCCTGAAAACATACTGAATAGATAGTCTTCTATAGCTGTCAGGTAATGTATTTGCTTTTTCAAATCATCAGTTTTTCTTGATAATTCTCTCTTGTATTTGTTAGACCAGAGGTTCCCAACCACCAGCCTGTGGCCTGGTACTTTGGCTTCTGGGTCGTGGTATGAGCCCCTGGCTTGGACCCCTGTCTGTCCACATGGACGAGTGGCTTCTGCCGCCATCTGTCAGGTTAAAGCTGGTTGGCTGGGCAGCCCTGGGAGGGAGGCAGCTGGCTCTGTGAGGTGGGTCCCGCTCCTGTGCTGGTCCACAGTATAAAAAAGGTTGGGAACCACTGTGTTAGACAATGCTGTTGCCATCTAGTGGCCAAAAAGCATACTTCTTTTTCAATTGTATTTTGTTCCAACTTGGTGAGGACAGAGTTTTAATTGAAATATTTTTTAGGTATTCTTTGTCACTGTCAAATTATTTGCTATATACAGGTTTCTCTCACTTTATGTTGTACATGTGTTCCTGGAAAATGGCACATAACTCGAATTCACATAATGGGAACCCACTTGACAATGTAACAAATAGGGGTACGTTCCAAGACCTTGACTGTACTGACCCCCAGACCCATTTCTACCACTTTTACAAGACAATTTTGGTACTCACCAACAGCAGATGGGACACAAACACAGGCTGGTGGTGAATGTTACCATAATGCAGATGGCAACTACAGAAACACGTGTTGCAGACAATGAGCGAGGAGTGTAGATCCACACGGGGGGACTGTGGGCATCACTCCCACAATGTGCCATACAGAGCAGCTGACTGCAGGCTTCCACCACACTGATCACATAAGATTGAATTTACCTTGCATATAACGAATTTTTGGTCTAAAAAGGATCGTCGCATAAGAACAAGTTCACACATGCAGAACCCGCATAAAGCGAAGGAGACCTGTATTCAAAACTCTGCCACTGTCATTTTGAAATACTCATATTATTACATATTTATATAATAAACATTTTATTATGAGAATAACAAGGATTTTGTGGGATGGTATTTTTTATTGGACCAACTGCATGGTCGGGATAAAGTTAGATGAGCTTGTGAATGCAAGGCATTTTTTATCAGGTCCAAGAAAAGAAGCAGGCACAGCGATGAATAAAAATGGTGGGGCTATGAAATTGGACAGGGAAGAAATTCCCTGGGAATGAAAAACAAACAAGTATAATTTCAATAAAGTATAATTTAAATTAAACTTATAGTATAATTTAAAATATAACAACAACCTAAAGTATAATTAATATATATAATTTATACCAACTATGTAGTTGGTCCAATAAAAGATATGATCCACAAAAATCCTTGCCTTTTACATAAACATGTTTAACAATTACAAATTATATAGAGAAAATAAAAGAAAGATTTTCATTTCCCATGGTTAAAGTGTTGCACCATCAGCAAAGATTCAATAATTCAGTAATAATTGATATGTACATATGTTCTACTGGAGAATTTCAATATGCTTTTAGATTCTTAATGAATTAGTCATGACTGAAGTTGTACAGTTGCCATTGGAAACAAAATGTGAAAATCCATCTCAAGATGATTATAACAGAGAAGGGAAGCACTCACATCAGATGCGTGTTCATTCATTCTAACACATAGGGATTGCCCGGTTGCCCAATGTAGAGAGCAAAGGGATACTGTAAGCAGGTGGTGACGTATATGACAGAGGTTCAAGTGAGTGACTCTCCAATGTTATGATCTGTGTTATCTGGTCTAGTGATCATGTGGTCAAATTAATGAGGGGGCACAGCTTGCATCTGGCTCTGTTGCAAGGCCTGTGCTCCAGTGAGAATAGGAATTAGGTAACCTGCTGGTAGTATGCAGCAGCTGTGGTCTCTGGAGCAGGGCAGGAGGAGGGCTGGGGAGTATGCTGTCTGTACAGTGCAGGGATTTGCATGTGGCCCATACAACACAGAGTTTGGAGACCCATGAGGTATACAGCCCCTGGACAGTTAGAAATTGGATAGCCCTGTTGGAAGTTGGATAAATCTAGGACATTCCTGGAGTTTCTAGTAGTTAAAGAGCTAAGGATAGAACGCTTGATTTCTGTTGATGAGACTATTGCCAGAGGCATAACAAGGCAGTTGGGCATCCAGGGCAGCTGTGAGACTAATAGGAAGCTGTGGCTTCCAGCTGCCAGCATGCTGCTGGTACAGCTGCGGTGGCACCTGCTATTTTTCTGCCCCCTCCTGTTGTCAGCAGCTCAAGTTTTTCCCCTGCTCACCCCACCTTGGTTATGCTACTACCGTTGACTAAACCCATTTTTAGTAAATGTTTCCCTTCAGCAAAGAACTGACTCTAAATCTTAACACTGCCACATATTTGCATTTGTGGTTGATTTTTTTTTTTTTTTTTACATTATTGCTCTGAGGTGCTAAGTCTGAATCATGGGCTTAGATGCTAAACAATACACAAGCATGAAAAGATGTGAGAAAGCCATGGGCGACTGGTGCCACCTTAGTCATGGGGGGCACATGCTCCCCCCAGTGACCAGTCATTGACTGGGGGGTACCCCTGTGGCTGATCCCACTGACCAGGAGGGGAGATCCCTCCATGGTTGATCACAAGACGGCCGATCACTGCAGCTGCTTCTGGAAGTGGCTGTAGCTGCTTCTGGGAACACAAATGCACTCCACTCCCCGGCCGGCGCTTGCAGGGAAGGTACCGGCGCTCCCGCCTGCCCATCGCCTAAGTGGCGAGC